GTTTCCTCTTCTGCAGCAGAAGAATGGAGTCAGTGAGAGGCAAAAAAATACTGCAGAAACAGAACAGTACCTATTGTCTAATATTATTAATGGAGTAGATTACTGATGCTTCTGATGAATTACATCCAGGCTTATCAAACAACAAGAGTTATTTCTTGGTGAGGAAAAAAAGGTAAAATTTTAATTTATGCTTTATTATTTTCATTGATTCAAAATGTAGAAAAATCCCTACACACATGCACAACCTCAGATCTCCTCATAGTGAACCAATGTGCAAACATGGTCTACCAGCTCAGCTGTGGTGTTTGACAGCACCCACACCTCAGTGGCCCCGTTTTTGTCCATATTTGTAGTCCAGGCCATGAGTTTTGTTTGCTTGCTTGTTTCTCCTCCTCTCCCTTTCTCTTTCACCTTTCAGCAGAAGAAAAAGGCAAAGAAATGAGATGGGGAGAATAAGAGTGTATGACAGAAGTTGTCCATTACAAATCCAACCGGAACAAAAATTTTCTCTTGCAGATCACTTCAAAGCAGATGTTTCTTTCATAATCATGCAATCAGGAGGAAAATGCAGAAAAAGGAAGTGATTGCATCCTCCCAAATGTTATGAGTTTTGCAGCATTCAAAAAGACGCATTTCTCGTTTTGAAAGAATTGAAAACTTGTCAAGCCACTCTAGCTGTTAATCCACACATCCAGCCTGAACTGGGATTGAAGTGATAAGCAACTCAAGTCTGTACTGGTTACTTGGCAATAGTTTAATGATTATCTCGGATGTGATTAATGAAAAATACTATTAAGAATAATCATGTTGCACCACACCCTGAGCTGACTTCTACTCTGTCCTGCGAAGCCGTTCTGTGCAGCAGCAAAGGTCTTATCCGGGCCCTGCAGGCAGCAAGACCCAGACAGGGCCTACCAAGGACCTCAGGAAGAGCAGTAACCTCTCCTCTTCCAGCAAAAGTTTGGTTTTTCCTGTATTGTTTCTTTTCTGTGCACGGCAGTGAGATGCAGCCCTACTGCAACCCACCAGGCAATACTCTGTTGCTCAGCAACCCCGTACTTGCTGAGAGGGCTCTTTTGCAGCAGTAAACCTGGGCTGAAAAGGAAAACGAGGTGATGCAACACTCAAAACCTGCCACTTAGGTCTCCCAAGCATCGAGGCCCCTATGAGCAGGTGCAGGTCAGTAGCAGCAAAGACCCTGACAGCAACATCAGCTGAGGAACAGCAGTGCTGAACCTTCTGCTCCTCTGCATCTGGTCTGTTCTGAAGCATTTAGTGGTGATTGCCCAGACTTAATTAATTAACTAATTAATGAAAAAGGTCTCCTGTTTTGCAAAGCCATCTCTAGTGTCCCAGTTAGATCCAGAGCATGGAGCTGGCATTGAATTTGTCTGGGGGTGAGCCAGCCAGCAGTGCTGATGAGATGGGGACAGGGCAGCTGTGAGGCTCTGCCAGTGTGAAACCCTGTCTGGGGCAGCCAGAGTTGCTCAGGTGGGCAAGGGACCTGAGTGGAAAGAGGCAGTGGGGAACAGCTGAGTTGCCTGAATAGATTGGGTGGAGGCTGGGAGGTGGGTTAAGTAAAAGGTGTATTTCATGCCCTGGGAAAATCAGCCTTCCTTCCCCTCATCTCTTCTAGAGCCTGTAGCAGAGGAGGGTAGGTTTTCTCCTGCCTCTATGAGCAGTTGGAGACTGCAGCTAGACTCCTCCAAATCCACAGCCGTTGGGCTCTTCAGAGACCGGGCTTTTTTGGGACCTGGAAGTTCCACTGCTTGCAGGGCTGTAGCCAGGAGTGGGACTGTGCTGCCAGGTGGGTTTCCACATCCCTCATGGCATATGGAGAAAGGAGAGAGCAGGGCGCAGAGGCTAAATAAACCCTTTTACCTCTGTTGGTAGAAACATCTTCAAAAGCTTTTCTGCACTTGATCTGACTTTGGTAAGGCAGTACATGTGTTTTGGTCCATATTAGAATTTTTTTGAAATTATAACTTCTATAAAAACAACTAGGCTTTTCCATTAGGGTCACTGGCTTCATGTTCTCCTGTGGTTAACAATGTTGCACAGAAGTGCCTTGTTACAAGATTTGTGAGCGTCCCATCAAGTCATTAAGGCCAACCCATTGGCAGCTCCAGCAGACCCCACTGTGATCAGTGCCCTGAAAATCAGAGCTGCTACTCCCACCTGGCACGGGCAGAGGATCTACAAGGCTACTGCAGACTTCACCGTTTGCCACCTGACCACAATACCTACATGCCGTGTTACCAGAAGGAACGGAAAACAAATAGAGATTTGACAATACTTGCTGAACCACCTCTTTAAAAGAGAGGCTGCTTTCAGAAACACAGCCCCTCTCACAACATACAGCAAGTCACGGTTTCCCAGCTGCCATTTTAGGGTAAGCCAGAGGTATGTGTACATGCTTTTAAGTTTTTTTTTCAGTGCCATGAGCACAACTGAGTGTTTCCTATGCACATCATCTGTACTTGGGACAACGCAGCCTGAGCAAAAATGCTTGAGAAAACGAGGGGGCTCAGGCCCTGGGGGGAAGCACAAATGGCAGCAGCAAGCTCGAGGTGAGTATGATGGACCAGCATCCATTCTTTGAGTAAAAAGTTGCTTTTGTAACACTTCAGATGTGATGCAGGCGTGATACACTGATAGAAAACACAATTACACATGCTCTTCCTAGGGAAGGATAAACATCACTTTACACGTGCCTAAACTATGCAAAAGTGCAAGAACAACATGGCCATTGAGGCATCATTACTAGAACACAAATCCTGCTATCCATGTAGTGGTTTTTCATGCCAGAGCATGGGGTTTGCTGTGGGAAAGGCCCGGTTACCAGCCGCCGAAGCTGAAGCCCTCCCTGTTCCATGAGTCGCTGTGGTGCAGTGCAGGCTGAGGTGGCCGGGAGCCTGGATCTCTGCTCTTAAAATTCAGATGGAAAAATGAAGATCAAAGGCAGGCAATTAAAATATTCAAGAAACTGAAGGATATGTATTTTATATATTATGTAACGAAGATAAAGACAGATTCCTGGTGTTTCATTTTGGTACCATCTGGGAAGTGGCTGGACCGGGAGCAACATGAACAGGACCAGTGATGTAGAGCTACTGGCAGGAAACTGTGGAAAGGACTGATTTCTGCAGAGGGAAAAAGAGAAATGTCCCGGCAATAGGAAATGCCAGGGATAAACTTCTGGAAAGAGCTTTATGCTAGAGTATAAGGACAAGCGTGAACGTGGTGCAATGCAGAGCTGCATGCTGAACGCATTCGCTGGCGCACCAGCACAGCCCCTCTCATTTGCCGTGCTGGCAGGGTTCATTACATCCCCCTTCCCTCTCAGCAAGGCTGGTTATCCTCCTCTGGCTGTGCTGCGCCTTGCAGACAAACCCTAAATGTCACTGTCTCCATTCGGCGCATAGGGGTGCATGGGGAGATGAAGCAACCTCCCACAAGGGTACGGAGTCCAGGAGAGATCTCAGGTCTCCCAAGTGCCACGACTAATGAGCATCTGTGCTTGGAAGAGCTGCCTTGCGCTGTTAGGATCGCCCTCCTCCAGCAGCCCCTCCGGAAAGCGAGAAGCGACCGCAGAGCATGTGCACACCTGCGGCTCGCGCGTCCCTTAGTCCCATCAGGATGCAGTTAAATGCTGGAGGGGATAATAAAGGATGGCTACAGTGCACCTTTATTTCCTTTAAAAAATATGCCAGGAAATGGCTTGCCTATGTGGTATGAGTGGTCCAGCTGGTGGGACAAGAAGTCTCTAAAGCCTGAGCCTGCTCCTCACCTCTCCCGTGGTGAGATACCACCCAGGAGAGTCTCCCACGTCAATCAAAACATGCCAGCTGGGGACAGGAGAGGAGCAAAGCCTGGTGCCACCGCAGCAGCACGCTACTTGCCGTACCATCTGCAGACATGATACAAGAAGAGCCGGCCCTTCAAGGTCTGCTTTCCCAGCCTCCAACAGCTGCCCGCAGCAGCCTGCCGGGGCCCGTGCCTGTGCCTCAGCTGCACCAGGCTCGGGAGAGGCGTAGTCCTGCACCCAGCACCTGGGCCAGGGTGGGTAGCCAGCAGTTTCCATAACTTTCAAGTCTTTGGGCTGATGCAAATAGCTGTTGAGGGCAATTGCAGTAGTTTGTAGGTGCATTCGAAACTGCGAGCAAGCTCTCGCGTTGGGCCCTGTCTCTTTCTCTAGCTTCTTTCCAGTGCCAGATCCGTCAAGAAAAGGTATTCAAAAGCATGCAAGTCTTGCTGAAAAGCCCCATTTTTTAAAGAAGAGCTTAGAGGATGAGCTGTTACGTTAGCTGGGTGTTTTGGAAAGCTTCAGGCTATCCTGCTTTCCATGGCACGAAACACTGCGGTTCAATTGCTTTTAAACAACGCTATTTCCAAGAAACAAAATGACGATGATTCCACCTGACCGCCTTTTCAGCGCTCCTGTGAGAAGGGGAAACTGAGCCAAGAAAGCATCCGAGAAGTCAAGCAATGCACTGTCACGAATCTCCAGGAATAAAGCAACGCTAAGGCTCTGGCTTCTGGTAAAATGTGCGTTTCTGCCCCACCATTATTCCTTCCAAATCAGTTTTTGCCAAGTGTCCTGCACATGCCTTTTGCTCCAGTGACAGGATATCCTTCATTTGTCTGCACAAAGCGCAGATGAGCACTTTTTCGTGTTGTTTTCCAAGTCGGCTGATGGGAGGGTCAGCAGGGGCCGAAGCGGCTGCACCAAGTAAAGGAAAGGTAACCATGGTAACTCAAGTTATCTGCATCCTCCATGTATTTCCTTCTCCCCACCCTACATCATATCTTTCCCACCCAAACCTCAAGCCAATAGAGCCAGTGACCAGCTGGCAGGATGGGGACTGCGGCAGGGTCTCCAGCACCCAGCGTGTCTTGCTGTATTTCGGGGATCACCACTGCAGGCTGAGATCATCAAAAAGAGACTGAACGCATAGAGAAGGGTAACTTGCAAAAGGCAGAGCTCTCCACTACTGTAGATGGGGCACTGGATATGTTGCCTTTGCTCCAGAGTTACAGACTCGTTGATGCTGCTCCTGGTTTTGGCTCTGAGCTGTAACCTGTCCACAGCAGCAACAGCTTCTCCGTCTGCGCCCCACGTCAAACCCAGCTACAGTTTTGGCCGGACTTTCCTGGGACTTGATAAATGCAACGCCTGCATTGGGACATCCATTTGCAAGAAATTCTTTAAAGAAGAAATAAGGTCAGAAACTCAGCACAGTAATCTTTAAAGCATTCTGCATAGTAACTTGAAAGTTGCCTGTTAGTATTTCCAAGTGCTTTAATGAGAGACAAAGCAAAGAGTAACTTAGCACCCGGTTGCCATTACAGCACCTAGTAATTTATTTAATTAATGTCTATAGGAGGCTGCTTTTCTCCTTTCTTTTAAAGACACACAAACACAATCGGGTTTCAGCCCGGAATTGTAATTTGAAAGTAAGGATTAAAGTCACAACTTCCAGCATAGAGTGTAGCTCTGAAACCATTCAACACAGTGATGGGAGAAGGGAAGAGGGAAGGAAGAAATCAGTTTGTTTAGATGTACTGGGAAGTATTTTATTACGAGCAACTGAGTAAAGGAGAAGGGGGTTTAACTTTGTATGCTCCCAAAAGACTGTGTTAACTACAAACATGTAAACATGCTATAGAATTTTGTGCCAGGTGCAACAACACAAACGTGCAGAATTTCACGTGCATATTAACTGAGATCAAAAGCGATCTAAACCTGCCTGAGGCACGAGGACTTTTGCACATCAGGTTACCCACGCGCTCAAAAATACACGGGGCTAAATTATTAGTACTCTTTTGGGGAGTTTATGTGAGAACTTGAAGGCACAGGCAGAATTTGCATCTGCCTCGGAGTCAATGAGACATATGCTGCCCAAACGGTCATCGGACCGATCCAATCAGTTTTAGGCTCAAAAGCCGACTGTATCTGACGACAGCGGGGAAAATGTTGCCAGTGTATTTGAGGAGAAAGTTAAAGGCAACGCTTGGCAGCGGTAGGGTTTATTGGGTCTGATATGATTTATACAGCCATATGCACTTTCTTTTATAGATATAAAAGCCTGGGGGAGAAGAAACGATTATAGTAAAAATGTATTTTTAATGCTGTAATGTAAGTAGTATAATATTGGACAAATCACCATTTTTATCTTAAACTATCCTATAAAATGTGGCATAGTAAAACCATAATGGTTTGTATGGGATGGTCTTGTAATACCGAACATCCATCCTTTCCTTAATGCCGTTAGAAAAAGGCGGCTTGTGGCTGTGCTACGCCAGAGCACCCCTCACCATGGCACACCGGGGGTCCCAGCCCTCGGCACTCTGCCCTCTTGACTCTTCATCTCCCCGGCTCATGCCGAGGGTGATGCCAGCCCTTGCAGTCGGTAAGGTGCAGTGGCACTAAGAAAGGCCAGGCCAGCAGTGCTGGATTTCTCTCAGCCCAGCCCGGGCTTCTGTCCTAAAAAGCAAGATGGATTTGCAGTCAGCACGTTCAGCTGGCTGACACGGGCAGGTGTAGGGATGCAGGGGCTGAGGGTATGTTCAGGGTATGGGCTGCCCTACATGCCCTACATTTTATTCTCTGCAGCAGGGCAGCACGGGAACTGGCTCCGTGCCCCAACCTGCTGCAGCTCTTTTGCCACTGGCCCGTGCAGGGTCTTTAGGGACCTGCCTCCTGTTACAAAGCAGGTTCCACGCTTGCAGCTTGTCGCAGGTGCATCATTTTGGTTACGTCCACTTAGCTGCTGAGGAAATTGGGGCCCTGCAACTTCCTACAGCCCTGCTGAAAATAGCAGTAGCCTTCTGCAGCAAGCTACTGGTCTAGCTGGCCAGCGGCCAGCTGCATGCTGCACCAGGGCATGGGAAAGAGGTGCTACATGGGTGAAAGCAGGAGGCCCCCACACTGGCTTTCCTCTGGGGGACAGCAGGAAAGGAGCACAGGTGGCCAGAGGGTCATACAATCATAGAACCACAGAATGGTTTGGGTTGGAAGGGACCTTAAAGATCATCTAGTTCCAAACCCCCTTGCCACAGACAGGGACACCTTCCACTAGATCAGGTTGCTTAAAGCCTCATCCGACCTGGCCTTGAACACTTCCAGGGATGGGGCATCCACATCTTCTCTGGGCAACCTGTTCCAGTGCCTCACCACCCTCATTGTAAAAAATTTCTTCCTTATATCTAATCAAAATGTACTCTTTTTCAGTTTAAAGTCATTGGCCTTTGTCCTATCACTACATGCTCTTGTAAAAAGTCCCTCTCCAGCCTTCTTGTAGGCCATCTTTAGGTACCGGAAGGCTGCTAGAAGGTCTCCCGAGAGTACAGGAGAGGTGCTTCAGCCCTCAGATCATTTTCGTGGTCCTCCTCTGGACCTGCTCCAACAGGTCCATGTCCTTCTTAAAGGTCCAAGCAGTGCCTGGGAGTGCAGAGCCACAAAGATGTGGGAACATGGTGCTTCTGCCTCAGGGAAGGTAGAGGGGCTAAACCCTAAACCAGAGATTTTTCTTCTCTCCTGCGAGCCCACAGTTAGTTCTCACACACAATGCAGCACACAAACAGGTGATAATGTACTGTGCTCTGAGTGCTTTGGAAAGGGTAACTTTCAGAAATATTCTTCTGAGTAGTCAGTCAGCTTCAGGCTTTTCTTTACAGGGGTCAAACTTCTCTCACTTGATTTCTTGAACATCCGGGATTTTTTGGCAAGTGAAATGTTAAATGAGGGAAATTTTAGTGTCATTTAATGCTCTTCGATCCACTCTTGTGTACCTCTTCACATGTCAAAGGTGGACGGCACTTGGCACTTCTCTATGTTAATCTTCATTAGAACACACTTCATCAATTCTCCATCATTTCCAGGAGCTGACATTCATTCGCACTCAATTAAGGAGTAAGAAGGTGTGGGTTTTGTTCCCAGAACAACTGGTGACTCATCCTGTGCTCTAACGTTCTTTACTTCCCTTATCTTTGCCCAACTTTATCTATGCATCTGTAAATGAGAATACCAAAGCCTGTCTACCAACTGTCCTGAGAGCAGAGTGTAGCAAAAGTTTTTGTAAAATACTAGATTTTCAAAACACTGTGGAACTGAGCTGACCAAAACTATTTGCAGACTGTGTCAAAGCTGGTGATGAGCTTTGGCCAAAAGTAATGGGAAGGAAGTTTGAAAAAACTGGAATGCTTCAATTTGATGGGATTTTGTATGCTATTTTTTTATTTTTTGTTGTAAGACTTAACTTACTTAATTTTTGTCTTTTAAAAAACGGTAAAACTTCAAATGCAAGCAAAATTATTTTGGCTGAAACAAAATTTCATTTAATCCAGGAAAAAAGAATAAGTTTGATTTTCTTCAATGTTTAGTTCTGGGCTGACCTAAAATCTCTAATCTGTGACTCAGTTATTCACACAATTCACACAATATTTCAGATCTTACTGAAAGTCTTAATTAAAGCGCATTCAGGCCTTTAGCTAAAAGGCTTCATACGAGAGTGAATTATTGTTGCAGCACAACTTGATGATGAATCTTGAAAGTATCTAGCAAGTGTGCCAGGCCAGTGCTGCGCTGCCCAGAAATGATGCCAAATACAGAATTGCCGCAGCCCATGCCGGGTTCCCAGGCTCACATGGCTCTCCCCCAGGAGCTCTGCGGAGGAAATCGCTCTGTCCACACTCAAATTAACGCTCAGCCCTGGCTTTCACACATCCATGCATTGCTTGCATGCAGGAGGTGGCGCTTTCCTGGTATCTGCCTGACGTGAGCTCCCCTGAAAACACACGCTTGAGCCAAATCACAAGGCATATTTGTGATTAACTTGGGGAAAAAAAAAAAAAAAAGAAAGAAAGAAGGAGAAACCCAGCCCACAGCCACCTCTTCCCTGTACGTGCCTGGCACACTGTGCCTGCTCTGCAGATTAGGCACTGGGAGGGGTTGTGATGCAAACCAAATCACAGCGAGGCATAGCAACTATTCTCTGCTCTCTAGTTGACGCTCAAAACTAGATCAAAAAAAACCCCACCAAAACCCAAGGCGTTTATTTTCATGTCAGATGCCTTAGTTGTAGGGATACTTCAACTTCTTATTGAGCAAAATGCCCAGATGACCGAAAACGCCTGAACCCCTTGACCTGCTCATGCAAGGGGTTGGGCTCCTCCACTTCTGGTCAGTCTGCATGTCCGCGACAAATCTTTTGAAGGAGGCATGTGGCTAGAGCCGAAAGCCAAAGCAGGGCAACCACCAGCGTTTTGGGGAGACAGGCTTTCCCCTTGGGCATCCGTGCTCACCCTGGACCTGAGCTGCACTGCATCTGCAGCGGGGAAGGGGAGCAAGGTGCTGCCTTCAAGAGGAGTCATGGGGAGGAGGCTGGTCAGTCTCTGACCACAGAGGGGGGCTAGTGACACCGAGTTAGTTATTTGCCTGAACTCAGAGGAAATTAATCCTCCCAAAATTTCTCTGTGCCAATTTCCCAACTGGAAATCAAAAGGAAGGATCAGCTTCAGCTTTCAGATTTGTTAATGTCTTTCCATCTAACTCCAGCTAGCTGATCCTGCAGGGAACCTCTTGCCTCTCCTGTTTCACTTCTGAGCTATTGGCTTTAATTTATGGTGAGATTAAATTAGAACGTGATTTCTTAGGCACTCGGGCAAGCAGGTTAGGGCAGGAGGTTTCAGAGGCAGCAAATGTGTGACGCTGGCCAAACCAAAGGTCAGGGTTCAGCTGCTTTCCAAGAGCGGGTTACAGGCGTACTCGCAAAACAGGCACCGCACTCAGCTCCTGCGTGTGTGACGCGTGTGTGGGCAGGGCTGAGGGGGCTGCTGGAACCAAAAAATATCGTCGCAGTCTAATTGCCCGGCCCATATGCTCCCCTCCTGTGCCTGTGTAGAGGGAGTAAATCTGTGCAAGGTCTCCATGGCTGCAGGAGCCCAAGGCACGCGTCTTCCTGTCCCTCCATTGCACCCCAAACTCTGCCTCTGTCTGGGATGGTCGCTCATCCCAGCTGCTAAAATACAGCCAGCGGCGTTGGAGGGGACCTGTTGACCCCAGTACTGAGTAAAGCCACCACCTCAGAACAAAATATTATATTGACATTCCCAAATACATTTATTGTCAGGAGATTTTGTTCTGTAGAGTCCCTTAAAGTGTCAAGTACTCCTTTTTTGAGCTCCTTTCTCAGGGATTAAGGATATTTAAAAACTCCAGGGCTTCCCTGTGAACAGAAACCCTGCAGCCCTCTCCCTTCAATTCCTCCCTTTACATGGGCCAAAAGACCCCGTTTGGGCATTTCATCCCCTGCCCCACGGCACTGTGCGCGACAAGGGACGGTTTAAGCAGAAAGCAGATGGACATATTTTCCAAAGCACATTTCCTCGGCTGACAGCTTCGGCCTCATCCCAGTGTCTGGGGCTGCCCACCCGTGGCTGCTCAGCCTTTGCCACCCGATGGCAGAAAGCCCCCAGGGCCAGCGTGCAGTGGAGGGACGGCAACGGGTGTCCGTGCGGCATGTTAACCCGCTCTCCGGGGGCTCTCACTTTGGTTTGGCAGGTTTGACACCTGGCTTTCTTCTCGTTTCAAGCTGCCCTCCAGCTATCTGCTCAGCTACTCGGGCAACTACACCGATGATGACAAGAGCTGGCGGTCGGTCGACATCACCCGGCTGACCACCAAGTACCAGCACGACCGGGCAGACAGGCGCATCTGCACCTCCCTGCTGAAGACGAAGACCTGCAGCCTGGAGCGCGCCCTGCGCCGCACGCGTCGCTTCCAGAAATGGCTGGGGGCCAAGCGCCTCACCCCCGACCTGGTCCAGGTTGGTGCCCTGCGGATTCTCCAGATTTCAGGAAGCCTGATACTGGGTTGTGGTCAGGGGGAGAGGGGAGGGAAGCCTCATGGGGGTGACACGTGGTTCGGGGGGGAAAAAAAGGGGTCTGAAGGAGACACGGTCTGAAAGCTCAAGGGGTAGAGGGTGATTTTGGCACCATCCCTCCTGTCCCAGCCAGTGGAGAGGGCAGCACCACGTCCTCCTGGCCGAGCCACAGGGAAGAGGCAAAACGAGGCTCTGATGGGAAGAAGAGGGCCAAGGCACAGGGCTGGCCCTGGCAAGACAGGAACTGGCTCCTGGTTTCCAGGCTGAGGTTGGCTTCAGGCACAGGGAAAACCTGGGGCCATGCACGCAAAGGTGCCAACAGCTCAGGTGGGGATATTTCTGCCAGGTTTTTCTTCCCAGTTTTCCATCACACCTCAATGACTTTTTTCACAAAGTCCCACCCAAAAGGGCAGCCTGTGCCTTGAAAGGGAATTTGCTCTGGGGACGGGACCTGGGCAACTTGGACCCCTCTCTGCTCGTGGCCAGCAGGACGAGCGGCACTGGTGGTCGGAACCGGAGCATTGATTCCTCACCCGCCTGCCCTCTATAGCAAATGATCTCAGGCATGAAGCAGTGCACTGCCCTTTCTGTCGCAGTCCTGAGGTGTCACAGGCAAAGCCAGGACAGGCACGTGGGCTGGGAGTCACTGCCATCAGGCAGACTGGTGTCCATGGCACAGGGAGAGGGACACACAGGCAGGGCAGAGGGGCAGAGCAGGCAGGATCCAGAGGAGAGCTGGTGTCTGGGCACTGCCTGCACTGAGGGGTGTCATGGGCAGACAGGGGCAGCCATCAGGCACACCAGAGTGTTTGGCAGCTGCTGGCTTGCATCTGAGAGCAAAAGCCCCCTCCCCAAATGTGTAAGCATCCCCCCCATCCCATCCAAACAACAGCAAAGCATTGCAATATCCACAGGCAAGGGGCAGGGGCCAGGGTGGAGGCTGGGTATACTCTAAACAAGACCCTGAGAGGCAAAGAAAGATTATTCCAGCACTTCTGCCCCCTTACAAGAGAGAAGTGGCTGTGAAACAGGGACTTCTTTTTTTCTATAAAGACAACTGTTTCCTCCTGCCTGCATGCTGCTGCATCTGTTCAGCTCTGCTGAGCATTAAAGATACGCTGCTTTAGTTTTTCCACTTCTGTTACCCTTGGAGGAGCATGCCTGAGGAGGGAGAGGGCTGCAGCAGCAGCAGCATCAGGAGCAGAACCGGGGCTGGTGCCTGATCTTCTCCAAGGACTCACCTGAGTTGCTGATAGACGCACATGGCAGGTCACCCTGAAGCCAGCACCCTCTTTCCTGGGCAGGGTGAGGTGCAGGATGACATGTGCCAGGCAGGGAAAAATTCTTTGGAGCTAAGCTACAGTGTACTTTGTCTAGTAAGCTCAGGAGAAGGGCTAAGGAGTGGGGGCAGATATGCATCACTTCTACTCAGAGCATCCCTCACCTGAGCCTGTGGGCTGTGGGCAGGGACACATCCTCCCAGGGTGGCAGGCAGCAGCTTCCCAGGCACCCACTGGCCATTGCTGTCCCTCAAGGCAGCAGTGCAGGGGGCGGCAGAAGGGCAAGGTGGAGAGCCAGACCCTCTGGCATTGCTGGAGTATCCAAGGGATTTGTGCAAAGACATGCTGCCCTCATAGCAGTGCTATGTGGAACAGGAGGAGTTGAGAGCTTAGAACTTCCATTTGCTGGGTGAAGAAGAAACTGGAGAAATGTAGCGCTGTCGTATCTCAGATCTTCTGCAAAGTGAAGTCATTAGCTGAGCCCAAATCCTTCTCCTTAAAAGGCTCTTGATGTGCTACACAGCTTTCCCTACCATGTCCTCTCTGAAACTGAGCTCCTGGCTGAGCGGGCTGGGTCACACACACGCATGCACACCACATGCACACCACATGCAGACCACATGCACACCATATGTACACGCAGCACCACGTGGAGACTCTGGCTGGGACGCCCTGGCCATGCACCTGTCTGGTTTCTCCTGGTCACTTGAGTTTCCACCGTGCAGTGGTGGGAAGCTGAGTTGACCCCAGCTCCAGGGCTCCTCCGAAGTGAGCTCTAGGGGTCAGCCTGGAGGGAACGCACCCAGGGACAAACTTTCTGGGACATTTCAGCAACCCCTGCAGTTTTTTATTTGGAGACAGCACAGGAGGCTACAAGGAGGTGCAGACCTTTGCACATCTGCCTCGGGATTGCTCTGCTCGTGTTTTCATGGTTCTTTGATTCTGTAAATCGAGCAGAGAAACCTAAACCGGGATATAAATCCCTTCTAACAGCATATAGTCTTGAATACACAGAGAAGCTGAGCAACTCAGAGGCCCTGGAGCCTACTCCCCTCTCCAAATTTTGGCAGCAATCGCTATTTAAGATTGGGCATGTGCTCTGCAAAATGGCTATCAGTCTCACAGTGGTCTGAATTTAAAAAACAGTCTGTGGCAACAACATTTCAGTTTTACAGTGAGTCAGTTTGTATGTGAGACCCTCCTCAGCCTCCAGCCATGTTGTGTGAGCCACCACAGGTTACAGGGTGACCCTCTAAGCCATCCAGCCTCACAGAGCCAGGGATGCCCTTCCTCTCTGCCCTCCTCACATCCAAAAGCTGCAGGCGTACCTCTGCCTGCACCCAGCCCAGCACTGCTGCCCCTCTGCAGTGTTGGCTGGGAAAACGCACGTTGGTAACACAGCACGAGCCATCAGAGTGGGATTTCTTGGGGCTACCCATATGTGACTGCAAATACTTACCTGCAGCACTGCTCTTCTGGCTTTTTTTTTTGCCCCCTCTCTTTTCAGATGTGTTGACAGCACACCGCTGGTGGGTGATGCCTAACACGATGCCCCCCACCATTTCACAAAGCTGTAGCTACCCAGCGGTGTCTGTACTTCCCTCGCTGCAGTTTTTCCTATATAGCAGCACTGAGGAAAGCTAATGGGCTCAGGTAATTTTGTCTTATAGAGTGGAGAATTACAAGAAACTGTAACGTGCTTGAATCAAGATGACAGACCATGAAGTAATGTTTTTTCAATTTATGCTGTGTTCTCTGCCTGACCCAAGCATCAGCTGAGCTGCCTGCCACAGTGATTATTTCACTTGCCACAATGAAAATCTTTATTGGACACAGCAAAGTCTTCAGTGTTAAAATCCAGCCCGGCTTGGAGATGAGTAGGATTTAGCCAGGGCTCAGCCCGCACGGTAGCCGGTAGCCCCAGCCACCTTCTGCTTCTCCCAGGAGCTCATCACCCCAAACCACGCCGCTTGCTTTTCTTGTTCAAGGGGAAGAACAACAAAAAACCTGGGCTAGTTTCAGCACAAATCACCCACAGGGCAAATTTACAGCCCTGTCTACAAAGCACAGTCTGGAAAATGCCAAAGGCAGATGGACAAAAGCAGTACCAAGGTGAAAAGCCAGCCATTTGCAGCTCCTTTCTCTAGGATGTACGGTTTGAAACTATTGACCGGCACCTCCACCTGTGCTCAGCGGATGTGCCAGCACTGTGGTGATGTGGCCAGTACGCATCGCTTTGCTCACAGTGCAGAGGCAGCAGCTCGCTGATCTGGCAGCTGCTTCGTCCTAGGGAAGGACAGGCGTTACTGGGCTCCCAGAGCCACCTCCCAGAACCTGTTGCCTCTTTGACCCTGCACCTCACCATCAGAGACGTGCTTCGGTAAACCTGCTGGCACCAACCACACCGTATCTCCCAATGGAGGACTATAGCAGTGGTGCCTGCAGTGGGGATGAGCTCCGTAGCTTCACAGAGTGTCCTCAGGTTCTCTCTTTTGGGAGTGAACAAAACCCTTGGACTCAAGCAGCCAGGAGCTGCAGGTGCTTTGACACCTACGTCCAAATGTTTCTTCCTGGATCCTACCCCAAACTTGCTCGTTTGGTGAAGCTGCACCCAGGTGATGGCATGTGGGGCAGGAGGCAGCAGTGCTCCTGAGCTGTGCCATCCCTCCTTGGGTTGGCTGAAGAGAAGGCTCAGTGAGAAAAAGTCTTCTAGAGGTCATCTTTATGTCAGAGTGAATTCTGGGTGCATCCTCACTAGATACGCATACATATGCATACATGGGAGTTTAAAACGCATTGCCTACTGTGCAGTAGGAGAAAAAACCTCAGTTGCGTGCAGGTCGGCTTTGCAGGAGTTACTTATTATCAGATATAAAAACGTGGGTATTTAATCAAAGTAAATAAGAAGCTTTCCATATCAATCACAAACAATACATCAGGCAGGCTGGCAGGTCTTATTCTCTGGGATGATAAAACGCTGTGAAGGACTTAAGGTATTCCCAGATAAACCAGTATTGCCAGTGTTTCGAGTATGTGTTCAAATTTTTCTTCCATTGGCGTTTTTTTTCTTATAGTTTTAAAACTCTGGCTCTTTTTCTACTGTAGGGATGTTTCCATCAGTCTGCTGGAAGGGGATGCCCCTCTCCACCAGAACACTGGAGCAGATGCTGAACTTTAAACATTTGAATATCTCTGCTGAAATCAAAAGGCCTCACTGTCCAGCTTGGGTGGATCAGGGCTTCATTACATCGTAGGAAGTTGCACTGATGGTTGATACATATAAACACAGCAGCACCCAGCCGTACTCCTCTGCACCCGCACCGCTGCTGGTATCCCTCAAATGGTTCCTCAGGAAACAAGCAGCCATGATGACCAAATGCAGCACATGTCCATGTCTATGTTAATAGGATGAACCCTGATGTTGGAAAAAAATCCTAATTAAAACTTTCATGTGTTCTCTGCCACCATAAATTCTGTTCCTGCTTTATACTCTCAAGGGTCTCAGCTTTTGTGCTGCAAACTCCTGGAGGCAGCAAGGCTTTCTAATTTTGGCTGCAAATATTTGCAGACACGCAGAGCTGCAAGAGACTTTCTCCACTGTTTGTGTCTTCTTTAACACAGCTCTGTTCTGTTCGTTTTTTCTCACTCCTCCTCCAAAGGGAAAGTGACAGAGTCAGCCACAAGTGCTGTGAGACAGAAATCCATAACCGTCCCTTCCCCCCTGTCCTTCTATGGTTTTAGATAATTAGTTGAAAAAATATTTCCTTCGTAAGGCTACACCAGAGAAGAGGAGTGTGTGAAGACTTGCAGCCAGAACTAGGGAGTTTTTGACAAATGTTTTATTCTCTAGGGAAAAAAAAATGGTTCTTTAGTTGTTGTGAGACAACGCTCCAGTTGGGGTTGATTTTTCTCAGGTAGTTTTAAGCAGCTGTTGGCATTCTGGGCTTGTTTCGTGCAACTGATGGCCAAGAAAGGAGTGGTTGGGACCTCACTGAGGCTGGCAGAGAGGCAGAGGAGGGGATGTGGGAAGTCTAGTTCCCTCTTTCCACCTCCAACCACGTTCCTCCCTTCCTTGTTCATTTGTTTCTTTGCCATGACTGAGTAACTAGGTGTTTTGTGCCAAATGAACAGCTCGTGCAGGAACGTCTGAAAGAGACCTACCTCAGAGTTACCAAATGACTTGGGGAGACCCTGAGTCAAATCTTTGCTCTCAGCGTGAAGAATTGTAGGGAGTAATGTGAGCTCCAGTGCCCTTTCCTCTGAAGCACGTCTCTCAGCCATCAGATTATAAAGAAAACCTGAAGGAGTAAATGTGGCTACTGAGATCATTTGGAAGAAAAAGGCTTAGAAAAAACCTGATTCCCTTCCCCAGCAGAGGTGCGGCCAGGCAGCGCTTCTGTGCCACTGTGGGCAACTCTCCGTACATCCGCTCTCCTTGGCTATTAAGAAAGACTGACTTCAAAACAAAGGTCTTTTTTGACTACAAAGGTATAAATTTCTGTGCCATTTATCCTGGCCATAGATTGCTTGTGCAATTTTACAAGCCAAACCTTCAAATCTGAAAGGTGAAGTACAGTGATGGTTGACCCCATTAGCCCGACAGTTCTTTATTTGTAGCTGGTATTTACAAAACATATGCACAGGCTATCCAGGTTTGGTTTTGATAGTTAATGCACAAGTTTATCAGAGAGAGAATATGTCCTGTTCTTGTACCCACATACAGTGCTTGTTTACACTTCTGAAGCATGTTTACTGACCTTAGCAAATAGTATTTGCAGGAAAGCTGCTCACAGGCTAAGCAAATAGCGAAGCGATCCGAAGACATTATTTAACGAGGGAAGTGACTCACCAGCTTAATGACAGCGGGGCCTCTGCCAACGGGCCAGGATGCCAGGGCTGGAAACTCGGTCGGACAGAGGAGGCCCACTGGCACGGAGCAACGCGCTGCTGCACAGTAGGGGGGAAGTGAGGTTTGCAGCATCTGCCTCTGCGCTGCAAAGACCGGGTGCTGTTTTGGAAACCTGAGCTGTTAACAAGCATTTTTGGATGGTACGGAGATCTTTTCTAGGAGCGGTTTGCTGTAGAGATCCCGCTGGGTGCCTGTGCCCACCAGCAGCTCTGCCACAAGGTGCAGAGACACAGTGGGCAGAGCACAGAGGTGCTGGTGCACCCCAGCATGAGCCAAGCACACCATGACATCTCAGGCTGGAAAACAAACATCTTTGTCGTGTTTTCACCTCTCGCCAGGGCCTGTCTAGCCCAATGCTGCGCTGCCCGTCCCAGCGTCTCCTGGACAGGATAGTGCGGCGCTACGCTGAGGTACCAGATGCTGGCAGCATCTACATGGACCACCTCACCGACCGGGACAAACTGCGCCTCCTGTACACACTGTCAGTGAATTCACACCCCATCTTGTTACAGGTATGTATCACCTCACTCTGGCTTGAAATGCCACCCCGCAGCCCCTTTGCAAGCAAACCCTCGCATGAGACATGCACCAGTCCCAAGCTGCACAGGAGTCCCAGCCCTGGCCTTTGGCAAGTTCCCTGGCCTTCATAAAGTGAGTTTCTTCTATGGTGTTGGATAGCTGAAGCCGGGCAGACTCCTGTGGTGCTCCTTGCATCAGCCTGTGAAGTTGTGGAGAGATATGGATGCCCAGCCCCTTAAATAAATCAGAACCCAGACAGGTTATTGCACTAGCACACTGTGAAAGCCAGGGTTTTACACATCCCTGATACTTCACAGTGTTACGTTTGCATTGCTAATATGTCACTCAAAATCACAGCCTGTTTATAAAAGAGAAAGAGCATGCTTTAGCATGGGAGGTCCAAGGTGCAGCATTGAGGTTGAACATGGACTTGGGGAGAGCTGATTTCCCAGGTTCCATATACCAGCACTGTTTTTACCATTTACATGCTGCTGGTAACTAGCTCCGTAGCAAACTGCAACTTTGCAGAGGTGTTTGGTGGACTCTCAAATACAACTGAGCTCTGAGTTTGAAGGCAGAGAGCTGGAAGGCCTTGTGCCCCTCCCCTGGTCCTCTGCTGCCATGCCTGGCATGTGGCTCTTTTCTTTCCTTACATGTGTTTCTGAGGGAGTATCCTCACCCATCCCACCACTGCCTCACCTTTAGTTCTCATTGCTGTGTCTTTCAACCTTCTGAGATTCCACGGAGAGGCAGCAGCAGCATCTGTCTCCTGCCACAGGCCACCGCTGCCCTCAGCAGCTCTCAGGGCTCTGCCCAGTCCCAGGGAGGGGGAGTGGTGCTTGTACTCTGGAGGTCTCCTGGTGGTCACTCAGCCACCCCGGCCATGGCTAGCTGGGGCACGAGTCTGCAAGTCTCAGCACTGTAAAGATATGGGAATGCAGCTTAAAGAGGTGAGAAAAATATGCCAAAGAGAAATGGCTTGATTTTACGTGAGTGCCCAAAATGCCTTTGCAGTAGAAGGGAGAAGCAACCTTAAACATGAAACTGGATGAATTTATAACCCTGCCTTGGCAGGGTCTGGGGCACTGGAGAGAAAAACTAGCTGTAGTGTAGATGGCAGAAAGCTTTGTGTTGGCACGACTCAGCAGTCATGCAGTTTGGTTTCCACCTGGCGTAACTGCATTGCTAGCATGAGCTGCAGTGACGCAGGGAGCCCAGCCCAGGTGCCCTCACTGTAGCAAACACCTAGCACTTCTCTCTCTGAGACTGCAAAGTCCCTTACAAAGTGACCAGGCATTTCTTACAAATTAGCAAAAACTTCTCTAGCCCCACTTCACCTCCAAGCCATGACTTCAGCTCTGCAGTGCTCATGAGGAACTCATCACAGGCTCCATAAAGATCCCTAAAATTAGCTCTTTTGTGCCTAAAATTTTCATGACTTTAAAATCTACTATTATCTTGGACTTTCTGGTCAGTCTCCCTCATAGAATAAGTCTTGAAATACTTCTTCCTTAATTAGAAAAAGAAAGAAAAAATAAAAAGAAAAAAAAAGCAGCATAGCTACTCCAGGCTGGAGCAGTGCCTTCCCCTGCTGCTGGGGCAAGCTGGGGTGAGGAAGGGTTGCAGGATGCTTTAGAAAGCAAAATACGACACCGGCGCTGCTGCTTGAAGTTGGCCAGGGCACTTGAAAGTTCTCTGGGAGGGAGGTGGGTCCATGGGCAGAACGCAGCAGCCAGAGTGCCGGGGCAACTCCCCCTGTTACCGCTCTCCCCGGCAGATCTTCCCCAACGTGGAGGGATGGCCCTTCCCACGGTACCTGGGCTCCTGCGGCCGGCTGGTGGTCAGCGCCAGCACCCGGCCTCTGCACGACTTCTACGACGCGGCCCCTGCGGTGGCCGCCGACCTGGCCCTCCAGCTCCTCACTGTCCTCCGCTCCATGGGCACCAACGACCTCAACTATTTCTTCTACTTCACCCACGTGGATGCTGGCACCTTCGGTGTGTTTAGCAATGGGCATCTGTTCATCCGGGATGCCAGCACACTGGGGATCATCGACAAGGAGGAAGGTACTCAGCAGGCTCCGTGGCTGCGCATCTGTCGCAGGAGGACTCAGCGGGACAGGGGGAACAAATCTTTCAGCTTGGCTCTGCTGCTGATTATTTTTTTAATCGACCGAACATCACTTGCTAAATTAAATAATGAAAAGATCAAGCAGAGATTTACCAACAGCAAAAGCATCAGCAGCTCCTGCCGTTCTGGCTCTGAGTCGGGAAGGCGACAGGCATTTTGTTTGTGCGCTCAGCGGTTTGGTGACTGATCGCGGGCACTTGCTTCTTGCCCGGCCCCCTCTGTGGCTGGCAGCAATATTAAATGTGCAAGGTGCTGAATGTTCTCGTTTGAAGTCTTCCTAAATCACCTCTTTTAAAACTTTTGCCACACAAACGTCAGTATTTGCTAGTATAAATTTGATAACTTCATTTGTTTTAAGTACTGAGTCAAATCAGTCTCTTTTTAGGTGCATTTATCACATTAACTAATAATCATAACAACAAAATCTCCCTTTTGTCATTTTTACATAAAATCAAGAGTTAGTGTTTGCTTTTCACAGGTTACATTGGTCTGCTCCTGGAAGTAGAGCTTGTAAAAGACTATTTCTCCGATAATTTGACAATTTCATTTTGAATGTTCAAATTTTCAAAAGGCCTTTGCTCAGCTCACACATTCAGCTGAGTAGATCTCAAATATTCAGAAGCAGCTGTCAGAGAATTTTCCACTGGGTTTCTTTTTCTTGGCCAGACAGCTATTACTGTTGACTTGACTCCAGCTAGATGAGCTGTTGTTGCAATTTAATGATTTTGGGTAACATGGAAAAATTATGGGTATGGCCATTTGTGGTAGTTTTGTAAGAACTCCACATTTTAGGTTAGTACTTTAGTTCTCATTTTTTTCCGCATCGGTTTGACTCAACAGACTCTTCTCCGCTTCCTCTGTCAGACAGTTCTGAGCGCTCTGCCATTCAGAAAAATATACATATTTCAGGAAGGAGAAAATTGGCCCATATATATAGCTACAGCACAGGGTATTTTGTGGTGACAGATAGCTGTATCCTTCAGATAGTAACGAACCACATGTTAATACAGAGGTACAGACATACGTGATTACCCAAGATTTTGCTACCATGCTTCTAACGACTGGTTTAATTGTCTCTAACAGGGAGCCAGCTGATTGATGGCCAGCAGGAGTATAAAGATATATTTAGCTGTTTGACTGTGGACTGCCAGTCTGCATTTGTGTCCTGTAACTCCATCAGAGAGAAGCACAACCTCGTCATGGTGTGCCGAGAGCTTTTGCCAAAGCTCCTGAAGGGGAAATTTCTGCAACCCTTGCAGGAGAAAATAGACAGCTTCCTGCAGAACTGCGCCGATGGCCCTGCCGATGACCACGGTGTCGACGAGGCAGTTGCAAAGCTGGAAGAGCTCCTGAAACCTCTGCGATCTTGTGATTCTCGTTTTGCCTACCGCTACCCTGACTGCAAATACAGTGAAAAATACTGACGGCTTCAGAGGAGGGGTACCCCAGGAAGGACTAGGGCAGTGTCAGCCCCCTGCCAGTGCGGGAAGCAAGAAGGAACCAGGGTAGCTGGAAAGAGCTGCACCAGATCTGGGGCTTTCTCATCAAGGCAGAGGAGGAGGGGGAAGAGTGAACATGGGATTTATTGTTCATCTCCCGGAGATGCATTTGTTACATGGGATGTTAGACATGATGTAAGGCTTATGGATTATTAGCATTATCGTGAGTGACAGGGGCTACAGGATTAATAAATCTTATTCAAGTATTCTGGCCTTGGAAGAGTTTTCCATGCCCTTCATAAAAAAACAAACAAACAAACAAAAAAAAGCTCTGAAGGCAGCGCACCCACAACTAGCTAGATAGAGGAGCTTTATTACCAAGAAAGTCTTTCTGACCAAGATGATATATATACATGATGTGGGATGGATAGACACATTTAAGACTTTCCTTTTGGGGATTTCTAAATCATAGATAGACTGAACCACCAGATCAGTTCTGTTCCATCACCCATCCTAGATCACTTCTATAAAATATTTAAATTTTATTACTTTTATAGCACACAGAACAGAAAGATGCAACCAATAGCAGTAAAAAGCTGAAAGGCCCCATGTCTCTTGAGACTTAATTCCCCTAATCCCCAAATATAATTACTTTCAGTCTTTCCCAAGTTGACAGGCAGTAATTGGAGACTAATAGAGGTTCTTGTTTTACGATCAGAAAAAACACAACTCTGGGATGTGATTGTCCAGTAGATACTTTCATGCTTTTCTCTTTAAAGAAAACTGAAGGAACCATTTGCACAAAGCCATTTAAATGGGAAAATTACCTTAAGAGGAGAAACAGCACAGGCAGAGGATGGGAGATTAGTTTACTCTGAGCCCATGAGATCTGCTGAACACTCAATGCTCCAGTGTAGGTGCTGGGACACTCCCTAAGCTCTCAGGACTCTTAAGTCCTGACCAGCAAGAGGTACAACCATCCACATCCCTTTCCCTGTCAGAGGAGGAATCAGTAAGCCAGTCCCCAAAGGAATGACTCAGGCACCTAAAATTTGAGGTGGTGGATTCTTTTTTTCACAGCAGTGGCCAACACAGGGCTAGATGTAGGTGCCTCATTTTGTGGGAGGAGTTTGCAGAAGTTGTAGAGCTGCAAAAGTTGCAGATTTGCAAAATGCAACTTTGCCATCCAGCATCTGTTGGTCACTGTCTTGTGTGCTCCCTGTGAGGCATCAGAGGCCCACACCAAACCTGCCCCGATGCCTAGGGGACTGCCAGACCTCACCTGGGTTTGAGGCTTTCTCCTGGGATCCAGGTGCGCTGGAATTGCCAAGAAAATTTGGCTGAGCTAAGTCAGAAACTAGACTTTCTGGATCCCCCAGAAGTATTTTCATTGTGGAAACAGTCTTCCTTTAGCCATGCTTCAAAACAAAAATCAGTAACAGCATAAAAGCAGAAAAAGGTGTGAGTGCATTTGCATTG